TTCAGAACTTTGTAGGTCTGATGAATTGGATCGTGATTCCAATTCCAATATAATAAATTATAACCATGGAATATTAGTCTGATCATATATATATATTTATGTGTGTGTGTGTGTATATACTACAGTTCAAAAGTTTGAGGTTACTCATAGTAATTTTTAAGTTTGGTAACTGATTCCATTCTTTTTTCAATAATTTTAAGTATTCTTTTTACATTTTTTCACGCTTCTGTCAAGTTCATCCCATACAAATTCTGGGAGTGACTTCAAGGTTTTTAACTCAATATATATATATATATATATATATATATATATATATATATATATATATATATAGTAGTGAATAGACATAATATCCAACGTCGAAAGCACGACTCGGAAATTCATGTGGACTTGCAATCTTCAAGGTGCTGGATACAGTCTGACTGTTACGAAATTTGCGTTCTCGTGGTGATGATTTTTATTGATGCCTAAAATATTATAATTAATTATTAATAATTTATGTGATTCTAATTCTTAAGTTAAAAAGATGAAGAATTAAAAAAAAATTAAATGAAGAATTTGAAGTTATAAATTAAGTAAAACTGAAGATTGCAAGTTTGCATGAAACTCTGCGTCGTGCTATTCACGTTGGTATTCACTAATATATACATAATAGCTCTGTTATATAATACTGTGCACTATATTATAGCATCTGAGAAATAAATATATATGTACGTGGAAGTATATGCGCATATATGTATGTTGTCATATATATATATATATATATATATATATATATGAAAACATACATACATACATATATATATATATATATATATATATATTATAATGAAAACATTTTGAAATCGCTACACAAATGCTTTTATGTTTTAATACTAACATTGTATTTCTTTAGGCGATGGTATGCAACTGGTCATTAAATGATTTTTAAGGAAATTTAAAAACAGTGTTATCTCTTTTCCGAAAGGCAGGGGACATAAGATCAAAATTTAAACTAGACTTGGGCGTGTATGTCTTGATTACTAATTAAATGTCTAATCTACGCTAAATAGAAAAATAAGTTCAGTGGGTAGAAGTGGGTGAGTTATTTTTTCATGGCACAATAAACCGGCATATAGACATGTCATCGTTGACGATTGCGAAAAATATGCCAGGGACAAATGTATCGTGATCGTAGATGTTATGGTCCAGGTTAGGACCAAGGAAGAACAACACGAACACAAGAGTAGAAATAACGAAGGTATATTACACGAAATAATAATACAAGATCTGGAAGTTGTTAGTATGACTGTCAGTCTGGTTTGGAGTGAACTACTATCGGCTCGACTCGATTCGATATTTACTACCCCCCCAGGAGGGAAAGATGTGGCACAAGGCCGAGTTTTACGTGGGTTTTCCGAGCCCGTAGGCTCGGCCAAAAAATGCCCGTAGAAACTGTAAAAACAGAGTCAACGAACGAGGCTTTACCCTTCGGCGGAACCTCGTCCGGGTTCCTCTCTACTCAGAGGCAGAGAGTTCGACCGTCAAGCCGAAATGGATCGACTCGATTCGTCTCTCTCTCTTGATTGGCGTACTATACATAGTGCTAGGGTTAGGGTTCATTCTGTAGTTATAGGTAAGGACCCATGACAATTATAGACAAATATTATAAGTTCTATTTGTTGAAGGAAGGGTTGGGTTAATCAGACGTAAAGTTAACAGAAAACATTTTATATTTAGGAATTTTCTTAAAGGGTCCTGTAGATAAAATTAAAATTGTGTTACATCTATTTAAGATATTAATAATACCAACTGGACGGCAATACATTATTTAAACTGAATAAACAAAATAAGGTAATTACCCGTAGAGGGTGGACAATTATATACTAATGAATTATGGCTATAAGAATTGGTAATACGTAATCCTTAAAAAAATTAACTATATTTTATTTTTATAGCCAGAATTTATTAGTATATATATATATATATATATATATATATATATATATATATATGTGTGTGTGTGTGTGTGTGTGTGTGTGAGAAATAGAAGGAAAATACATATATAAGAGAATATATATATATGTAAAGTGAGAAAGAGAAGAATATATATATATATATATATATATATATATATATATATATATATATATAAAGTGAGAAAAGAAGGAAAATGCGCAAAAAAAGATGATTAAGCAAACAGTTGTTGAGACAGTCAAAGAGAGAAAGAGATAAAACGAATTAGAAAGAAAGAAAAGACTGGATAAGAGTGAAAGAGAGTGAGAGATAGAGAGAGAGAGAGAGAGAGAGAGAAAGGTGAGATATAAAGGGAGATGCGACAAATGGAATAATGTTAATGTAATGTCTTCATATATTTATGCATACTTGATAAGATATGGCTGAATATTTAGCACGTGTTGATTTGCTTTTGGATTGAGGACAAACAGTGTGGCTTCCTGTGTAAGAATAATAGGCACAGGAACTAGGTGAATCGTAAATCAAAAAGTAATTATCTCCCCTT